CCTTACATGATATATCTTGGCTCTTATTTTTTCCTCATTCCCCTGCCCTCCCTTCAACCCCTTCACCTCTCTGTATTTACAAAGACTTTGTTTCCATTTTTTGCTTTTCTCATATTTTTTCCTTTCCCTTCTTTCCTTTCCCCTACCCCTCCCACTTCCCCTATCCCTTTAGACCTTTTCTTTCTATTTGACATTATCAGTTATACATTTTGATCCTGATTTACAATTTTAGAGAAACTATTCGGTATTTGTATTATTCTCTTTTATAACTAGGTATGCTCCAGAGCAATACCTTTTATGTCTGTGGCATGAAAGCAGAAAGAGCACAGTAAGAGAGAGAGTGGAAAATTTTTTTTTGCATTTTCAATGTGGATAAAGATATGAGAGCCATTCCAGAAAGACAAGATTCATATTTAGAAATGTTCCTGGGCCTGAGATCATGAGGCTGCCCCCACTTGCCGCCCCATCCTGACCTGACAAACATCACAGTGGCAATTGTATGTCAGGCATCTGTGAAAAAGCAGTTATACTCAGAGCTGTGGCAGAGCTCTGTAAGGACAGGAACATCACAGCATCTCTTGTGACATCTTGTAAGCATCTCCTTACACGTGACACTTAAAAATGTTACCTGATAGACTACATGGAGGATCTTTTTTTCCTGACTCCATGGAAGTTTTTGGATTTGGAGAAAGTTCAGCTATAATTCTACTTGAAGTGTCTTTTCTATATGAAAAGCAAAGAAGAATAGTACATGGTCTCTGCACTCAGTCTCATTTTATAGTCAAAGAAACCCGGGATCTGTGCAGCAACATAAATCATAGAAGTTTTTGAAAAACTGGCTCCTAAAGTATGTGGTTCAAACTCTAAGAACTATAAGAACTCAAAACTGAAGGTGCTCAGTGAGCACAGATTCCATCAGGGCACAGGTGCCAGGTGGACCTCAGAAGGACTTGTTAGGACAGCGAGTGCTTTGGGGATGAAATGCTTTGCTCAGGCTCCACCAAGGGCTTGTATGTTGGAGGGAGGTCAGCAGTGTTGCACAGAGAGCACATCCACCTTGCTGCCACCCTAAGTGTCCAGGTGCCCAAAATTGATGAAGCAGGTGATACAGCTGAACTAGAGATTCTGCCTGGAGAAGACAGTGCCAGCAATGGGTGTGGGAGTACATCCTGTGTGTGTGTGTGTGTGTGTGTGTGTGTGTGTGTGTGTACCACAATCAGGGTCAAGGCTATTAATACATGTGCTGGGTGGGTATTGCTTTATGGCAACAGTTGGGATCCTTTCTCTCCTGGAAAGTATGGCTCTGTTTTCATGGTTTAGTAATGAGAGTGGTGATTTTTGTGCTGATAAGCCACTGAAGCCAGTCTTTTTTTTCCTACTATGCAAAAGTGACTGATATTTTCTTTGTCCTGTAACATGGTGTGGGTGTAAAAACAACCCCCTCTCATTAGAATCCCCCCTGTGATCTCTCTCTCTCTCTCTCTCTCTCTCTCTCTCTTTCCATATGTGTATAGATAGATAGATAGACAGATAGATATCTCACTTGTTACCACATAGTCTTGTGCTATTGTATATCAATTACATGAATCCAGCACTCCATATTTGTGGTCAACATATGGGCAAAGCACTGAGTTTGGCTATAAAAAGCATTAGGAAGCTCTGTGGGCAAATGTTTAGCCTCTGACAAATAAGTATTTTCCAGTCTCTGTTCCTGTGGCAGAGGTGCACAAATGGGCATCTGGATGTAATAAGCAGTTCACTAAGATGTGGTATTCCCGGTGACCTTTGCAATCTGTGAAGATATTGATTGCTTTCATTGCTTGGGACTTGGGGGAAAGCAAGGGCCAGTGCCTTTTGGCTCCTTCATTAAGTTATCCTCTAAGCAGTGGATGCTGAAAGAGATTGTTAAAAAGATTTAATGGGGGGGGCCAGGGATTTAGCTCATTGCCTTCCTTATAAGTGCAAAGTCTCGAGTTTGATCCCTGGTACCAAAATATTTATATAAAATGGGGTGATGTTCTTTGAGAGATAGTGGGGAGGAGCCTTGAGGATGCTGGGACAGCTGTCAGACCCTGATGCAGGCCCAGCATTTGTGGATAGAGGGAAGGAAGAAAGGCTGAGCAGGAATTCTTTGGGCTGCAGTGCAATTCTAACAGAGGTTTGTCAAGGGTTATGGAGTGACCTTGAGTCATGGCTCTCTTTCAAAGGAATCCCCACCTCTTTGCCTTAGTATCCCTACTATTTTTCATCATTGCCTGCAAACAGGGGTTGGGAAGCCTCAGAGTGAAGGTGGTGATGGACTCCAGAGCCCAGGAAACTACTGAAACTACTGTTCAGCTTCACTCTTTACCATGAGAGATCTGAGAGGTGCACTTTCAGGTGCACTTTCAAGTGTATCTGGTCACTTCTGGTTGCAAGCAGCCTCATCTATATACTTCTGAATGCTTCTTGAAGACTGGGACCAGAGATGGTTCAGAGGACCAGAATTTTTGAGGCCTTGGTGAATTTAGCCACACTAAGTACTAGGCACTTAATATGACAAAGACTTGGTTTTCCCAGCTGAGAAATAACAGTGTGCACTTCATGTTCACTTTTTGTTATTTCTTTGAAAGCATTTTTGCAAAAATAAATGACTTACCAACTGTAGGTCTTAAATGACATTAATATGGATTTTTTTCTTCCATTCAGACCCCATGCAGATGCTATCCTGGGATTCCTGTCTGTGTCTCACTAGAGTAAGAAAGTGTGGCAACTGTATCATTCACAGTACCCTCTGAGTAATTTTTAGGACATTAGTGTTTAAAAAGTGGCATTTTCCCACAAGCACTCCATACCACTTGGAATACAGTTAATGTATCTTTCTTCTCTTTCTTGACTAGTTTTATTCCACAGGACTTCTGGAGGTGCCTATTGTTTTGGGCAGATCACATTCTCAGTGAAAGCTACAGGTTCATCACTTATTTTCTCACAAAAGTTAGGATAAAATATGTCTAAGTATTATGGAGGAATGGGCTAAACACTGAAATAAGAATGAGTAAAATACTCCTGAAAGAAATCTGTTTTCATTTTTACCTGTCATTCTGATTAGTTCTCTACATTGTTGCCAAAGTGATAATTCTTATGTGAAAATGATTGTTTTACTCTCTTGCCTAAAATCTTTCAATAGTTCTACATTACCACTGGGTTAAAAGTTAAAACATGTTAGCATGAAAGGGGAGTCTATTTGTGACCTGGCCTTACTGCCTCACCTATGGCCTACATAATCTAGAATTCTCTTTTCTCTCTCCATTGATTCTCTTCCTACACTAGGAGTGTACACAAGATCTCTTAAGTCTCTCTGTATATACATTATATTTATTAGTTTACCATTAATGACTACTAACACAGAAACATCAGGATATCTATGACTTTATAATTAGAAGTTAATTTTTCATTCAACAGCCCAGTGTAAGCATCCCTGTTCATAGACAGCTTTCCTCCACCTATTATCTCTGGGACACATGCTCTTTAAACTCAGAGACTATTTTGGAGCCTTTCATTTATTTCCACCCAGTTAATACAAAATAGAAGAGAGAAAAGAATAGTAACAGTATCATCTATTTCAGTGCTATAGCCAGAATGGGTCACATGTCACTTTTGCTTATATTCCATTTCTGAGAACTCGCCATATGCAAGACAAGCAGGTAACAAAGACCAGGCCTAGCAGTCACTTCTCAACAACACTTCTACACATGGAGAGCGTTAGGTCCTAGTAATTTACAGCTGTTTGTTAGTATGAACTGCCACCCACATGTTCAGCCAGTGTTCCAGTTTCTTCTCTGATTCAGCTCATCTAGGCAAATGTTATCTGAACTTTAAGATTCACCTGACACTTCCATAATTCAAAGGGATTCAAAGTGTCTCCTTTCCGTAACTGTTTCCTGGCTGCCAGAGCACGTATTATGCGGTGTTATTATTGTTTGCTTATGAGTTCATTTATATATATGCACGTGAGCTCCTGCAGAACTGGGACCCTATTTTTATTTTAAGTCTATAAATTTCTGGCAAAAGATATGCACCTAGCAAATGTTTTATTAAATAATGGAAGTTTACTAGATCATTGGATTCATAAAAGAGTTAAAACTTTCAGAATTTGATGTTTTAAAATGAACAGTGGATTATTTATCCCCAAACACATACATCAATCCTAATTTTAAATTGACAGCTGTTAAAGCCTCTAAAGTTCCCATGAGCAACCTAACAAAGCTTATAAATTAAAAAATCAAGGATTGTCACTTCAATTCAACTCATCCCGAAAAGACATGTTGTATTGTTAGAATGTATTTGGCTGTAAATAAGCAGAAAATTGATTCAAATTGTTTTTGAAAAATTAGAGAATCTTTATAATATGTAACAAAAAGTCTAAAACTTAGGGAGCTGTGAAGTTGTTGGAAGGTTCCATGGCTCAGAGATATCATGCAGGACCCGAGGCCTGTCTATATCTTGGTCCTACCATCTCCAGGATGCTGACTGTGTCCTTGAATTAAATTCCTTCAGGGTCACAGGATGCCAGATAGTAAAAATAGAGAAAATATTGCCTTGCTCATACCTTAGGACAAGACAACCTCTCACCACAAACAGGGACTATAAATGCTTCTTTTTAATCTGAAAGGCCTAATATAGATGCTACAGAGCAGAAACATTTCATGCCCTGATTGGTTAGATTAGTTTGTTTCTATCATAGAAAGATTTGTTGATATTCTTGGATGGATAGTAGAGATGGGTTCTCTTCTATCCATAATGTGTGGTCTTTTAGGAAGAAAAAAGTCATGCTGAATATTCAAGCGGTAGTATCCACTACAAATATTAATGACATATTCCATTGGGCTGGTATTTATGAGCAAACGACCCAACTCTTTCTCCAGCCCCTTCTGAAGGTTCCAAGTCATATATTTAAAAAAATCTAATACTGAACACTCTAATTACCATCCTATAGTGCAATCATTTATTCTTTATTTTAGGTCTCATAATGGGATTAATTTTACGATATGCTACCGCACCAACTGACATTGAAAGTGGCACAGTGTATGACTGTGGAAAACTGAACTTCAGTCCATCAACTCTTCTGGTTAACATCACCGACAAAGTTTATGAATATAAATATAAGAGAGAAATAAGCCAGCATAACATCAGTCCTCACCAAGGCAATGCAATACTTGAAAAGGTAAGGACCTGATCTGGTCATATATATTTTCATATAACAATTTTATCATAATCGATATTCTCATAAGAAAAATATCCACACACATAAATGCCCTTTTCAGTATCATACTATTAGGATAATTTAGTTAACTAATAGATCAGTACATTGAATTATCCTCTTTTTATATAGTAATAAGCTCAGTTTCCAGTATTCTTTCCTAGAAGTTAGGACAGGTTTTTAATATAATTATTTTGCAAGCTAGAACTTTATTAAGCTTTTAAAAAGATACAAAAATTCAGCAACTCCACCTTTCTTCATACTTGATATAAGTTTTCACATGTATATTTTAAGTATCATTGTATATTGCCTGCAGGCTATTTGGTTCGAATTTCCCTTAATCCAAAAGGAAAATAAAGAGAAATGAAAAAAAAAATTCCCTTGCAAATCTGATCTAGGATGACTGGCTTCTGTCTGCCAACACAATATGCTGGCCACTTTACTATTTGTAAATATACTGATATGCAGTCAATCTCAAGACATCTTGACTATATAAATTTACTTGGGGAATCATAGGTTTAAAAAAAAAAAAGAAAAATTGTGAATGATTTATTTTGTACAAATAGTTTAAGGGTAGGGTTGTCGTTCAGTGGTAGAACACTGTCCAGTACTTTGAGGTCCTGAATTTGACCTCAAAATGGAAAAAAAAAAAAACTTTTATTGTAAATTTGTAAAATTCTTCAGTTATTGAGTTAAAACTTTCCTTTGCCTTCATGACTCAAAATCAGAAATGAAGTGATAGGCTTGATTTTACCACTTTTATACCATACTAAAATATTTAGTAATTTTCCATTTTGAGAGGTTTGGGGCAATTGGGAAGGTACTCAATCTACTATTTTTCCTCATTCTTGATAATTAATTTGTGGTCCGATTTTTCACATTGTCTTTGATTAATACATTTCTAGATTAGCTAGATTTCTAGATTTCCTCATTGCTCTTGATTAGAATTCAAGAAAGTCAAACTAACTATAATATTAACCAAAATCAGAGTTAGCCAGAAAAGTAAATTCTACCACACAAAAAAATAAGTTAAATAATATATTTCTGAAATAAGTGAGAGTAACTTCTAGGGGTTATGTTTTGGATTCTTTTTTCCATACGATTCTTTTTGTTTACAATGATAACAGATAGATACTTATCTCTTGAAAAGAAATTAATTTTAAAATGACCTGGTAAAAACATAGTAATTTAAATATACTCTTGAATTTTACCTTTGATTAGTACCTTGCCATATATTATCTGTTTCCTCGCCCTCCAACCCACTTTATTTACCTTATTTACAACACGGTAATATTTTTCCAAACAGGTTAATCTTTAAAAGATACTGATACTTATTTCTGTTGCTATAGCAATTTTGAGTTCTGCACTAAAATAGCTCTATAATTTTCTAGATAATCTTCTAAATCATGTGATTCTTTGAGTCACAATCACCATTTGTTGCTTCAAACATCGAGGGATAGGATTTGGTGAACCAGCACCCAGAGAAATCCTCGTTGAGGATGAAGAAAGAGGCATCTACTGTCATGTTTGTTATAGTAGATGCCTCTTTGTGAAAAAGATCTTGTTTATAAATGGCTGGAGTATGTCTTACTTCATATATGTTGCTTATGGGCCAATAATGGTAGGCACAAGTTGGCCTGAATAATTCAACAATTCCCAGACTAACTTTCTTTTGGGAATCCTCCATAACATGCAGCTGTACATATCAATCAACCAATTAACCGAGGTCCACTTACTGTAAATCTTGTAAAGAAGTAATGTGTATTACATAGAAATGTCATCCCCTATAAGTTCCTTTGATTTCCTATGCCACAGCTTTTAAATTTATTGTAACTGATACACAAAAAACACACAAATTTTACATATTAATGGATATCATGTAATGTTTTAACATGTATACATTGTATAATGTTTAAATCATGCTAAACATGCCAGTTTTCTAATTTACTATTTCTTTATTGTGAAAACAATTAGAATCCTAACTGTGTAATTATTATCTATAGTCACTCTACCATACAGTAGCCTAGCAAAACTTATTTTTATCTAACTGTAATTCAGCGCCAACACTCAACCTCAGTTTCCTCTCTTCATCCACTAGTACCACATTCTACTCTCAATTGCTATAAGATCAAATTTCTTATTTGTAAAGTAAGGAGGCTAACTGTAAATAAGATGATGTATGCTATGCACCTGGCTAACATGGAGCCTTTATGTCCTACTGTTATCACTGCCACTAGTCCTGCTGCCAGAACTATTGCCACTGCACTACCACTACCAAAGTCCTTGCCACTTTCCCTGCTTCCAACTGTAATGCTACCATTGCTACAACCAATGTTTGAATGCTTAATATATTAACATCCATTTGGAGGGATAAGACCAATGTATAATATAGGCCTGTAAATAATCCAGTGAGAGACTGTATTATATGGATGATGAGGACTATAAAATTTTGCAAATTAGTTGTCACCGACACTTGGACTTGTTCATGAGGCTTTTATCCTAGGGAAGGAAGCACTGGAGAAGAGCTTTGAAGCTTGGATGTGGTTTGGATATGGAGTAGGAATTTAGCTGAGAAAGGTCATTAGAACAGGATGGCTTGAAGGGTGATGCTGCAGTGTGTGGTTATCCAGGTAAGAAAAGGAGGGGGACTTTTTCAAGGCTGGACACTTTGGATCAAAAGAGCTTCCTTGCTTTATGGGAAAAGTGTTCAGAGAAGTTCTAGTATTTCAAGAATCCTTCCTGACTGGAAAAATACAGAGTCCCAGGATAAAAGTAATAGAGAGAAGATTTGAGGGCAGGGGGAGATAAAAATGACCCTGGATCTGTATCTAGAGATCGCCTAAGTAAAAGCAAGGATACCTGACCTCTTTCAGTGGAATCTCATCATTTTATAAATGAGTAAAGGAGGCACTTAAGCATTAAAATTGATATGAGTCAATGACCTTAAATCTATCCATATTATGGAGTAAATTGGAAGCTTAGGAAAAAAACTCCACATTGTCTATGTTTCACCCCTTGAGTTCATGACTTGACTGAGCAGGGGAGTAGTGTGAGCTTTAGAATGTTTAGAAGATTAATAGAAGACAACTTGGGAAACCACTGATTTCAGTCCTGTATTGCATCATGTGAACATGGTAAGGAGAGAATTGCCATTTTATTCTTCCTCTTATCTCCACTGCTGTAGATCCTTTAACCTCTCATTTTGTTCCTTCAACACACCAAGAACTATCTTGCTTCCATATCTCCATACATGGCATTCTTTTTGCTGAAATGACCTTGTTCCTGCAATTGAAACAAAAGGTTCTTTCCCATCTCTAGAGGACTTGGCTTGAAATGCTATCTCTTCAGAGAGGGCATGCCACTGCATCCCCCCATACACACATACCACTTCTCTCCCCCTAGATTTTGTAGTACTTAGTACCAGGTGAGATGCTATATTTCTTGCTTTTTGCTTATTATCATTCTTACATGGGTAAATGTCAAAAGTCAGGGGCCACGCCTCTATTGACCAACACATCCTCAAAGTGTATCATGGTGTCTCGTGCTTAATAGCTTCTAAATAAGTAGTTGGTGAGAGAATCAGTGAATATTGGAATATTTGAGACTTTAGCAAAGCATTTAGCTGCAGAAATATACTATATTTAAAAATCATTATCTCAAAATTTGTAGAATTATAGTGCCTTGGATTCTTAATGTTTAAAGAAGTCTAAGTTAATCTTTAATTTTAGTTGTGCATATGCAAATAGTAAATCGCTGTCCAGAGATAACAAGATGGGTCCAGACTCTCATACTAGTGGGCAGAGGCATATCTGGTACTTATAATCTTTGATCCTGAGGCCTGAGTGGTTTATTGTGCCTCACTCTACTGGATAGGCTCTCTAAGAGGTCCCATTCACAGAAAAGGAGAAGATTCCTAAGCTGAAGCCTAAGAAATTCCACAGTTCCAAGCAGATTTTGATGACCAGAGCTGGAAAGAGTGGAGGTTGGTCATGACTCAAGAAGAGGTCCAGAGTAGTAGTGGCACAGAAGTCACCACTGGGCCTCGCTGCATCCTTTTCTTTCGTAGTATGCACGAAAGGAAGCATTTGGTCTTTGTTTCTAGAAATTATGGGTATTAAAAATGAGTTTTACCCTTAGAAAAGAATGTAGTTTAGAGGTTTGGATAAAATTCTTGACTTCAGGATTTGGAGAGACTGAAATGAATTCCTGTGCTGCGTAATCTCCTCTTGGAAGATTTTCTAAGAGCGCATGTGTTTCTGAGATGGTTACGCATTAATGTGATTGGAAACAGACCCTGGCTCGATAGCTTCATATGGTTCCTCTAAGAAGAAGGTATAATACTGGAAATTATAAGAACAATTGCAATTTATATAAGCAGCAATGTATTATAATTTTATGCCATATGTAAACATAAAAAATTTTAGAAATACCATATGCCAAGCTTCTTTCGTTTATGCTCCACACAGATAAAATTTTGAACAGAAAAAAATGATGAAAACAGCATTCTATATATACATTATGAGCAGATGGTGAGCTAAAAGCATTCCTCTGAAAGGGACAAAACTACCCCATGTTTCCATGTGTAAATATATATATATATATATATATATCCAGTCAGTGTTTCCAATGCCATTTGCCAAGTTGTTCGGTGGATCTAAGATATACTAACTAGTTTTAACCTTTTGAGGCCAATATTTTATTACACATTGATTTTATAATCATTAATTTGGTATGTAATATTTATCAATACCAAAATATCCATTAGGCATTTCTGAATTTCATATCAATAGGAAGTTCAGTTTATTTCAAAAATTCAATTATTACTAATGTTTTCTTTATTCCTTCAACATGAATGAACTGAGTGAATTCCATTGATTCTAATTGCATTATCTCAAGGAGTACATTAGTAAATCAAAGAGAAACATGATGTATGAATAAGTAAATAGGCAATAATAAAGGCAGGC